AAAACAATTAAGTTTGTTGCCCATAGGGACAAATCAAATTTCTTGCTTAATTTTCCAAAAGAACAGAAGATAAAACCCTATTTATCTCTACAGCAAATAACAGGTTGTAAATGGATACAAACTCCAGAAAGTAGTGGTTAATGATGCATACTCTGAATGGTCTAGGGTTGTTAGTGGTGTACCCCAAGGTTCAGTGTTGGGACCCTTACTTTTTAATAGATTTATAAAGAAAATAGTGTCTAGGATTAAGAGTACTATGCAGTGAAATAGTGTCCATACAGGATACCTCCAACTTACAAGCTGACCTCAATGCACTGTTTGATTGGGCAACTATGTGGCAAATGAGGTTTAATGTTGATAAATGTAAAGTTATGCACATGAGGGATAAAAATATGCACAAATCACATACTAGAGAGGGTACAACTGGGGAAAATCAAAATGGTGGAGGAGGAAATATTCTCCATATTTTGGAGGTTAAATCTCTTTTCCTCCAGATGTGAAAAGGCTTCTTCACAGTAAGCTGTGATGTGGAATAGACTCCCTCAAGAGCTGATTCTGGCCAGCTCAGTATGTTTTTTTTGTTTTTTTACAAAAAGCCTGTATTCTTTCCTAAATGCACAAAATATAACTGGTTCTTTTTTTTTTTTTTTTTCGCCAGTACAAAACTGGATGCTAATATTTATAGGTAAAGTTGATCCAAGAAGGAATTTTTTTTTTCTCCTGCTGGAGCAAATTGGATCAGGCTTTTTTTTTTGCCTTCCTCTTGATTAACTGTGCGTATAGGATTGTGTACGTGGAGGTATGTAGGGTTTTTTTCTGGGGAGTTGAACTTGGATGGACCAGTTTAAGAGTTACTCTAATTTATCAGATAGAATCTGGCAGTAATTAGGATCAACTCTGAGCTGGCATGGATGAGATACTCCAGCATTCAGAGTTGGGCATGCGTGCACTGGAGAGCCGTCATGTATGTGACAGCTTTCACAGACAGTACTATATCTCCAGGGCCATCTAGCTGTTGGGCAGGAGATTCTGCAGCCAAATGCTACATATAAACAAAAGGCCTGGGGATAACAGTGATGTCATTGTCCAAATACGTCAATGACCATATTTGGGAAATGGCTTCTCACTGGGTGGGCGAAACCTGATGAGGAACGAAGAGACTAATTCCCCATACTTAAAGTGTTACTAAACCCAGGACCCTGCATTCACTATACCTGGTCTCCCACAGTACACAACATGGAAGTGCAATTATTTTAGTAAATATAAACTGCTAAATAGCTTTTCTTATCAGAAGTTAGAGCAGTCTTGTAGCTTCTGTGTCCAGCCAAGTTTTATTTCTGCTCTAGGAGGATGAAAATCCCCTGACCTCTGTCTGGACAGTGCTGATTGGTCCTGTGCTGATCACATGCACTCTCCTTAGAAAAAAAAAAAAAAAACTCTTTGGCAATATACACCAAACTGAGGATGTGCATGCCTACAGTTCAGTCTGGAGATAAGTGGTGGTCGCTTGAAAAAGGGGAGGAACAGAGAAGAACAGATCAAACAGCCTTTTTACACAATTCAGAGGATTAACCCCTTAGGTTCCACAGTGAATATAACAAGCATGCTTTACTGCATATACAGACTGACTTTACTGTTGTGGGTTTAGTAACATTTTAAATGTTGATTGAAGATGCATGGCTAAGGTCAGATTCAAAAGCAGCGATTTCACTGAATAGCGACTTTTGAATCCACTCACTGCCATGCTCCCTCAATCAACAGTTCAGTGGACCTGATAGGGAACTAGTCTCTCAGTTCCCCCATCAGGCTCCACCCATAGAAAACTTCTCAGCCATGTGACTGTCCGTGTGATGAACACACTGGCAGGGGAGGGAGTGAACTGAGAAAGTAGTCTCCAGACACTTTTCGTGTTGTACCCCGATTGAATGCTAAAGGGTGTCCACCATACCCTTTATGAATTCCTAAGACAACGCTTCTGGAAACAGAATCCAATTCTAATACAATGGTTTATTTGGTAAATTGTACAGTTTTCTCTTAAGGAATTTGTTTTTGTTTTTATTTCTCTAACCTTAGAAATGTGTATTATTCTGTCACTTTTCAAAATGCTGTATAAATACATCTACCCTCTAATCATTTTTTGAAAAGGTCTTCTATTTCAAGGAAAAAAAAAAAAAAGGAAGGACTGTGCCACAATGCAAAATGTGTATTTGAAATTATAGCCATGCCAGTTACATGAAGGGTTGATTTACTAGAGGCACATAGGCTGTTCTCTTTCCAAGGTAATTTACCTTAGTTTAGTGAATGTGGGGGAAAACGCCCTTTTAAAAAAAAAAAATGTGTAGAGAAAATTAAAATAAACTAGGAAAAAAAAAATGTATTTTTGCTTTCAAATGATTGGATGATGGAAGTCAGCAGAGCTTCACCTCAATTAAACTAAGAGAAATCTCTTTGCCTTTGGTAAACCAACCTAAGAAGGCTTACAAATTTGAGGAATCAGATGTGGTTTTGTATTGTGTTATTGGATAAAAGATCAGAGCCGTTTTTATTAAAAAGACAGGGATAATTTCTCTTACACAAATGGAGATCTACACTCCTATATAATCAATAGTTTGGGGAAATTGGAGAGATCAGTCATTTTTGAGAGTCCTGAGGTTTTGGAAGACTTAGGCCCCTTTCACACGGGCATTTTTGTTTGTCCTATTTATCTGTTTTTCATCCATTCGTTGATGGATGAAAAACTGACATCAATGTATCTTTATGGAAAAACAGACATCGCCAACTTACAATCAGTTTTTTGTCCATTTCTGTTCAGGTCCATTTTTTTTTTTTTTGCCCAATTAAAAAATGGAACGGATGAAAAAACAGATGTAAACTGGACAACCAATACAGTTTTTGTATTGGTAGTGGATGTAAAAAACTGGTGTAAACCCTGATGAAAAATGGATCTGTTTTGCTTTGAAAAAACCTGACTGAATGGATGAAAAAAAATGTAAAAAAAAAAAAAAAAAAAAAAAAAACCAGAAAGCCCACGTGAAAGGACCCTTATTGATAATGAGATGAGAACAACTTCACCCCCTGCACCCAGTACCATTGTTAGCTTATTTTAACACAAGTCAAAAAATATAAGAACAGGTATTATTTTACACTTCTGATTTATGCCTAGAGAGCCATCTAGGGGCCCTACAGACAACAGATTGCTACAATAGTCAGACAAAAATGGCTTCTAATGCCTGTGGGCACCTTTACGGAATGATATACAATCATGCTGTCCGCACAATAGGGAAATGACAAAAGACATTGCTTTGGTAATGTAAGAGGTGACAGTGTACACAGATTGCAGATGCCTTCCAAGCTCCTTGTTGAAATAAGTTAACTGCACATTTTTTTTTTCCATGCACAAATAAGTGAATATGTACAGTCAGGTCCATAAATATTGGGACATCGACACAATTCTAACATTTTTGACTCTATACACCACCACAATGGATGGAGCTTTAATTTGAGGGTATTTACATCCAAATCATGTGAACGGTGTAGGAATTACAACAGTTTGCATATGTGCCTCCCACTTGTTAAGGGACCAAAAGTAATGGGACAATTAGCTTCTCAGCTGTTCCATGGCCAGGTGTGTGTTATTCCCTCATTATCCCAATTACAATGAGCAGATAAAAGGTCCAGAGATCATTTCAAGTGTGCTATTTGCATTTGGAATCTGTTGCTGTCAACTCTCAAGATGAGATCCAAAGAGCGGTCACTATCAGTGAAGCAAGCCATCACTAGGCTGAAAAAACAAAACAAACCCATCAGAGAGATAGCAAAAACATTAGGCGTGGCCAAAACAAAAGTGTTTGGAACATTCTTAAAAAGAAGGAACGCAACACCAAAAGACCCAGAAGACCACGGAAAACAACTGTGGTGGATGACCGAAGAATTCTTTCCGTGGTGAAGAAAACACCCTTCACAACAGTTGGCCAGATCAAGTACACTCTCCAGGAGGTAGGTGTATGTGTGTCAAAGTCAACAATCAAGAGAAGACTTCACCAGAGTGAATAAAGAAGGTTCACCACAAAAAATAAACCATTGGTGAGCCTCAAAAACAGGAAGGCCAGATTAGAGTTTGCCAAACGACATCTAAAAAAGCCTTCACAGTTCTGGAACAACATCCTATGGACAGATGAGACCAAGATCAACTTGTACCAGAGTGATGGGAAGAGAAGAGTATGGAGAAGGAAAGGAACTGCTCATGATCCTAAGCATGCCACCTCATCAGTGAAGCATGGTGGTGGTAGTGTCATGGCGTGGGCATGTATGGCTGCCAATAGAACTGGTTCTCTTGTATTTATTGATGATGTGAGTGCTGACAAAAGCAGCAGGATGAATTCTGAAGTGTTTTGGGCAATATTATCTGCTCATATTCAGCCAAATGCTTCAGAACTCATTGGACGCCACTTCACAGGTCAGATGGACAATGACCCAAAGCATACTGCAAAAGCAACCAAAGAGTTTTTTAAGGGAAAGAAGTGGAATGTTATGCAATGGCCAAGTCAATTACCTGACCTGAATCCGATTGAGCATGTATTTCACTTGCTGAAGACAAAACTGAAGGGAAAATGCCCTAAGAACAAGCAGGAACTGAAGACAGTTGCAGTAGAGGCCTGGCAGAGCATCACCAGGGATGAAACCCAGCGTCTGGTGATGTCTATGCGTTCCAGACTTCAGGCTGTAATTGACTGCAAAGGATTTGCAACCAAGTATTAAAAACTGATTTGATTTATGATTATTATTCTGTCCCATTACTTTTGGTCCCTTAACAAGTAGGAGGCACATATGCAAACTGTTGTAATTTCCCTACACCGTTCACCTGATTTGGATGTAAATACCCTCAAATTAAAGCTGACATTCTGAAGTTAAAGCACATCTTGTTCGTTTCATTTCAAATCCATTGTGGTGGTGTATAGAGCCAAAAATGTTTGAATTGTGTCGATGTCCCAATATTTATGGACCTGACTGTACATATCCACTTATTTTTGCATGGAAAAAAAAAAAAATGTGCAGTTAACTTATTTCAACAAGGAGCTTGGAAGGCATCTGCAATCTGTGGATAGTGGGTGCAATATCAGGCTCCTGCAACTCTTCCTCCAGCTCCCTGCCCATACCTCTGTATGGGCGTGCAGCTGGTGAGCTGGGAGAAAATGTTCATAGACTACAATATGGTAATTACTGCACTTCTACACCATTGAGAACTACAAGTCTGTCTGCCACAGTCAATTTAACAGTCTCAGCTCAACAACAGCTCTGCATGTTCACTGTTGTGCTTGATCACATGGTTGTCTTGAAGATCATGTCATTGAAACATGAGTAGGCAAGACAACTGATTTTTTTTTTTATTATTTTAGTGCTCTCACAAGCTGTGCCGAGTGTCACAAAGCTGTGAGTGTGACATTTTAGAAACTAGCATGTTAAAAGAATCTGACAGCATCATTTTCATGTCCTGTGTTGTGTGTTAGACAGCCACAAATATGTGAAGTTAATTAGAAGTGAAGAAAGCACTGTCAAGCTGTTTCTTCTTGGTGAACGTGACAAACAATTATTATGGTTATACAAACTGGCATCATATTCGAAATTAAATCGAGCTCAAGAGAAATAGGAACTTGCATTAAGATTATTTAAAGACACACTTTGTACATAAAATCCACTTTCAAATTAATATGACTAAATAGTTGCATGTGCAGCTTTATTCCCAAAACAAGCAATCTCTATTCAGTGTAGACTTTACGGGGGAGCAGCCACACTTGATAATCAGAGCACAAAGAAAAATTAACTTGTTTGATGCTGTCCTCTTGGCCTTGAACACCCGTGGCTATGCATTATTGCTCCATGGTAAAGTGTTACTAAACCCACAACAGTAAAATCAGTCTGTATATGCAGTAAAGCATGCTTGTTATACTAACTGTAGAACCTAAGGGGTCAATCCTCTGCATTGTGTAAAAAGGCTGTTTGATCCGTTCTTCTCTGTTCCTCCCCTTTTTCAAGCGACCACCACTTATCTCCAGACTGAACTGTAGGCATGCACATGCTCAGTTTGGTGTATATTGCTAGAGGGTTTTTTTTTTTCTTGGGAGAGTGCATGTAATCAGCACAGGACCAATCAGCACTGTCCAGACAGAGGTCAGGGGATTTCCATCCTCCTACAGCAGAAATAAAACTCCTCCTACAAGCTTTAGCTAGTGCTGGGCTGGACACAGATAGAAGTCACAAGACTGATCTAACTGCTGATGAGAAAAGGTATAATTGCACTTCAATGTTCTGTGTACTGTGGGAGACAAGATATAGTGAATGCAGGGTGCTCAGTTTAGAAGCACTTTAAAATGTTTGAGAAACATTTAACCTCCCTGGCAGTATTCCCGAGTGTAGCTCGGGGTAAAGTTTCAGCACCACAAGCAGTAACCCTGAGCTACACTCAGGAATACCCTGCAGCGCTGCTCCGGGATCTCTTCTGCACTTACCTTGTCCTTCGCTCCCGCGATGTCCTCCCTGCAGTGTCCCCAGCAATGTCCTCCGGCCGATGCCAGCATCTGTTTTCCGGGTTCCGTTCCCTGCGATGTCGGGACGTACGGGGATGGAACTGGCGGGTAGTTTTAAAAGTGACATTCACTAAAATCACATAGTAAAACATTACTTTTTCAAAGCATTTCACATACATTTTGTCCCTACTGCTTTGTCCTGTGCCCTGCCTGCATTTTTTACTGTTCTTTCTGCCTGGAAACTGAGAAATGTCCATGGCGTCCAAAAAGCGTCCCTTTAGGTCAAAAGCTGTTTTAGACCAGCTAGAGAACAGCGATAGTAAATTAGAATCACTTGCAGAATTGAGTGATAATGATTCGTGGGGAAATTTGTCATCAGACACTGAAAAAGATTTTGTAACTTTGCTCAGTGATGGGCGAACTAGGCGCTATATTTCAAATTTCAGTGTTTTTGGTTTGATTATATTATTGAATTACATTTATATTATTTTTTATTATTTCTTAAATTATAATTTATGATTTCATGTTTCAAATTTTAACATACCCGGAATTTTACTAGACTCTTGTTCGGACAGATTTCAGTGTGTTATTCCTAAAAATTACAGGCCTACAATAAAAAAAAAAAACTACATATTTCCATGCAAAAAAATTTACCGCTTTGAGCACAGCTCAATACTGACATAATCAGACCACTAGGGAAAGCTACAGGGAAAAAACATCCAGGAAAATAATATTCCTAGAAGGTCAACAACAGCAGCAATAGAATTCAATCTAAAGCTTCTACTTTTTCCTCTTAGAGTGATAAAGCATTTTCAATGCTTCCATGCAAATAGGCATTTTAAAAGCCAAGTTCACAGAGAAAAATAAATACATTTTATGTATTTATATTAGCACATGGTTTTTTTTACAGCGTTTGGCATCTTCAGCCTTCCTAATCGTCTGGCCTGGAATGACGCAACCTCCACACATGCACATGGGAGTCAATTCATCCTGGCACAGAGGTATGCCAAGAATGAACGCCAAGATGCACATTTTAAAAAAGTTAAAGTGGTTGTAAACTTACATATACTCAGTTAAGTGACTGGTCAGGTTATGCATAGAAATAAAAAACAAATCCTCCTTCATAAGTTGTATCTATAGCATTCTCTTCTCTACAGCTGTTCAACGTCCATAATTTATAAAGCTTGTCTGAGCTTTTAGAAAAACAAAGGGCAGAGAGCTGAAAATTACACACTGCAGAACTCAGTGAGGAGAGCTGTGAAGCTGATTGGAGGGAAGGGACACACCCCCTTCAGTCAAAACACAGGAATAGTTCTGAGGATGTCAGTCACAGGCTGTGTGCCAGAGCTCCCTCCCGGAACTTTTTTTTCTTGGGGCCAGGAAAACTTGTCAGAAGTGATTCATGCTGATAGCGGAACAAAGCAGCGACAGAAATGACAGAGTTCTTAAATGGGGCAAGTACACACACTTTAAAGAGATATGCTTTGTTCATTTTTCATGTCTGAGGTATACAGCCACTTTAACCACTTGTCCTCCAGAGGATTTAGCCCCCTTCCTGACCAGGCCATATTTTGCGATACGGCGCTACGTTACTTTTACTGACAATTGCATGGTCATGCAATGCTGTACATACTGATATTTGTCCCCCCCCCCCCCACAAATAGAGTTTTCTTTTGCAGACACGCACACGCATGATTTTGCGCAGCCCTGCAGCAGTACTTCTGCTATAGAACGAAGGGCATGCGGTTAAAGTGGAGTTCCACCCAAAATTGTAAGCTCCACTTTTCTGCCTCCCCCCCCCCCACCACTGCCACCTTTAAATGGGGGGGGGGGGGGGGGTCAGGACAAGTACCCGCTCCCACGTCCGGCTCAGTTTGCTAGCACCCAAGAGTCGATTAAAGAATCAGGTGTGTGTGTGTGTGTGTGTGTGTGTGTGTGTGTTCTTCTTTAAGCTGGACCAGGAAGGCAAGCAGCTTTTCGTATATCTCTTCTGTATTTAAAAAAAAAGTCTTCTGGCAATTTTACTTTTAAATGGTAAACCTCCTCTTCAAGATCCTCATGGCAGTCATGACGGTGTAATATTTAAAAGAAAACCTGTAATGGAAGTACTGAAGCCAGTACTTCCTGTATCACTGACCAAGGACAACCAATTCCTGATCTGCTTACTGATCTGGGTCAGAGTCTCAAAGCATTTAATCCAATGAATTGGCAAGACAGCCAGGAAACTTGCACTTTCAAAAAGGCGGTCAGTAACAGCATCCCCCATATTTTCCCCGGTTTTAAATTGTGCCAAAGTACAGGAAGAATGCCCCAGATCTAAAACTTTCATAATCAATTTTCTATGGGACTACAGGAGTCAATTTTGATGCTGCTGGCAAATTTCCCCAAGATGTACTGCTAGCACCTTACTAACTTTTAAATTATTATTATTATTATTATTATACAGTATTTATATAGTGCTAAAAGGTTTTGCGCAGCGCTGTACATTATAGTGGGGGACAGAACATGAGACAATACAGTAACAAAACAAAACACGAGGGGGTCAAAGGCCCTGCTCTTTTGAGCTTACAATCTAGGAAGGAGGGGATAGTAGTACAGGAGGAAGTGGCTGTGGGGGATGGAGTGGTAGGAGGAGTGGAGGAGATCGGCTGTTAGGTGAGGGCGGGGTAGGCTTCCCTGAAGAGATGGGTTTTCAGGGTGCGCCTAAAAGGTGAGGAGGGTAGGTGACAGTCTGATGGATTGGGGTAGTGAGTTCCAGAGGATAGGGGAAGTCCTGGAGAAGTCCTGCAGTCGGGCATGGGAGGTGGAGACCAGGGAGCTAGAAAGTAGAAGGTCTTGTGAGGAGCAAAGAGTACGGGTTGGGTGGTACTTGGGTATCAGGTCGGTGAGGTAGTTTAGGGCAGCATTATGAATGGCTTTGTATGTCTGCGTTAGTAGTTTGAATTTAATGCGTTGGGCAATCGGGAGCCAGTGGAGGGAATGACAGAGGGGGGTGGCAGAAGCAGAGCGGTTGGTAAGGTGGATGAGTCTGGCCGCTGAGTTCAGGATAGACTAAAAGCGGGGATAGTCTGTGATGAGGTAGGCCGGTGAGAAGGGAGTTGCAGTAGTCCAGACGTGAGATAATAAGGGAGTGAACGAGTTGCTTAGTAGTGTCTGGGGTTAGGAACGTACGTATTTTTGGAGATGTTGCGGAGGTGGAGCCTGCATGAGTTTGTCAACGATTGGACATGGGGCTGGAAGGACAGATTTGAGTCTACAGTGACACCTAGGATTTTGGCTTGCGGGGGTGGCACTGATGGTGGCGTTGTTGGTCGTGATGGAGAGGGGGGGGGGGAAATCAGGAGCTCGGTTTTGGAAAGGTTCAATTTGAGGAAATGGAGTGACATCCAGTCTGATATGTCGTTCAGTAGGTGGGTGATACGGGCGGAGACTGAAGGGGTGAGGCGAGGGGTGGAGAGGTAAATTTGCGTGTCATCGGTGTAGATGTGAGAGTTGAAGCCGTGGGAGTGTATCAGTTTGCCGAGGGAGGAGGTGTAGATGGAGAAGAGAAGGGGCCCGAGGACAGAGGACAATCTTTTTCAGCCAAAACCACCTACTTGTTTACAACCTGTTACAGGAGTGCGGCACCCTTCCCTTGCATCATCTCAACCCCATGTGAAGCAACAATCTACCCCTTGAAAACACATCCAGTCCCCTGCATCACCTCACCTTGGAGTGAACCCATATATCTGCCCCCCATAAAACACCTCCTCTTTCCCCTGCAACATCTCTTCCCCATGTGATGCAAAATATCTGCCACCCAAAACACAGCTCCCTAACCTCTCAGTATCAAATCTGTCTCTCAAAGCCACATCAGAAACCTTCAGTTACATTGTCCTACATCAGTTTAACTCTCCAAAGCCAAATAACCCTGCACATTTGTCTGGACCAGTGGTATTGTTTAGGATAGCATACCAGATAAAGAAGACAAGTTTAGCTGGGAGGACTGCAAGGTGGTGTGTTGAAGTCTCCCGATTTTATCACATTGGATGACCAGCACGATACGATAAAAGGAAGGGTTTCTTCTGTCTTCAAACAAGCATTACCATTTTTTTTTGCCTTGCAGTGTCATGGCACCCTTCAGGAGGTAGCTCCCCCACATTTTGAAAAGCACTGGTTTAAATGGTCCCAACCAGATGCTGTAAATTTATAGTAGTACACTTCATACAAAGAAACTAGAGAGATTTTTCAGGGTTGCGTAAGTCCCCATGCACACGAATGCCTGGGGCCATAAAATGTAAAATGTGGGTGTATTTACCCACCCAGGAGCCACAGATTCTGCATACAACCTCCCACAGAAATCAGTACCTGTACAGGGGTATACATTGGCACTTGTATAAAAACATGCACAGCCTGTACACGTGCGACATATGATCTTAGATGCAGCCTATACATATGTACTAGCATATACCAACAGCCACTGATTTCTATGGCGGACTATAAGCAGCATCAGTAGGTTCCAGGCAGAGGAAATAACATTGTACAACCCCAGTTGGCTGTGTGCGTAAGACCTAATAGCTTGTATTTAATAAAAAGCCATCTACACTGTGTGCACATTTATTAGGCAAGTTGTATTTTTGAGGATTCATTTCATTATTGAACAACTACAGTGCTCTCAGTCAATCCAAAACGTTAAAAAAAAAACTTTAAACCTGAATATTTATGAAAGTAAAAAAGTGAGGTTTTGGCTTTCGTAGGAGTATATCTATGGTGCATAATTATTGGGCAACTATTAGTGTGCAGAATTATTTTGCAACTAAATGAAAATTTTCCCGTCTCACTTGTTCATTTTCATCTGTTAAAGTGAGGATAATAAACAAGTCACAATTTACAAATAGACATTAAAGAGAGAAAAAAAAAAAAAAGCGACCAATATAGCCATTCATGGAGTCTGTCAGTTTTTTTGATCTGTTGACGATCAACTTTTTGTGCAGCACAAACCACAGCCTCCCAGATACTGTTCAGAGAGGTACAGTCAGGTCCATAAATATTGGGACATCAACACAATTCTAACATTTGTGGCTCTATACACCACCACAATGGATTTGAAATGAAACGAACAAGATGTGCTTTAACTGCAGACGGTCA